AACACAAGAGACAGGCAGCCTGAAGTGAAGGGTATAAATGAACTGTTTTGGATCCATCAGAATAGTGCCAACATTAATCAAGGACAAAAAAAAACAGCCTGCCACCTGCCTTTTGCTGGTCATACTTTGCAGTATGTTGCAAGAATGGAAATCAGTAAAAGAAGAAGTACTAAAGCAGCGGTACTCAACCTTTTTGCCTTGAAGGCTGGATGGGCAGTGCATGGTCTGTCCACGGGCTGGATCTGGCCATTGGTCCCGATCTGGAGCCTGGGGCAGGTGCAGCTGGCCCCATCGTGAGGCTGGCTGCAAGTGGACATGGTAAGAATTTTCAGGTCACAAAAATTCATGAAGAGACCAGTTAGATTTAAGAGTCATGCTTTTCTTTTAAGACACATGCCAATCTTTTACTAGGTAAAATAGAAACAAGCACGTTCTAAATAATTCTCCTTGCACATTGAAAGTTAAGAAGTCTTGCATATTTAAAATTATTAAAAGTACGATGCTGCCTAAAAAAAGGCACACAAACTTGTTTATATGTTAGCCTGTGGAAAAGATAAAATCCATATGAATTACAGAGCTCAAAAAGGCATCTTGTTAACCTTTTATAGCAAGTGGTGCTCAAACTTTTGGCCCCCTGTGCCTGGATAGGGCCCTGAGCTAGCCTGGCCCTGCAAGCCCAATCTAACGTGCAGGGCCTTGCTATCTGGCCCACTCAGAAATTTGGCATCAGGGGAGCAGCAACTAACACGGCCATTGTTCCAATACTGCCAGATTTTTGGACCACATTTTGGACATTGTGGGCTGGATAACATTGCTCCATGGGCTGGCCAGGGGTTGAGCACCACTATGCTATAATAGTATCCAGTAATGAAGGAGTGGTCAGGGGTGGGGTGCACCAGACAGTACAAGAAAAAATTATTTTCTCTCTCTCTCAGAGTAGTAGGACTCTTGGAAATAAGTCACACCAACATAGTAGTGGTAATACTTACCAGGAAACAAAGTAACAAGACACAAAATCTGATAGCATGACATCACATCATAAAACTTTTGAATATGAAAACAGTTATTTAGACCACCTTAAAGTCGCCAACAATTGACATCTATCTGTTTGCTGGATTTTGGATAGCTTTAACTCCAGTTATTGTTATCACTATGCACAATAACAGTTCTTCGATCTGAAAGCAGAAATATTTTAACACCATATCCACATAGTTTTCATCACATCAAACCTTAGGTATGTGACACTTGAATACCTACTGCCATTGATTTCAGTCGTTTCTAGAGTAGACACCAGGGCCAGTTAATCAGTTTTCATCTGTTCTTAGTAGAGGACTCCTTTAAGGTGTTAGCACTATAGATCTGTTGTCTATATATACTCCCCCTTCCATCCCCACAATGCAATAGAAAACCAGTATTTTAACTATGAATCCTTCTTGTGCTAGCAGCAGCCGTGAAATATCCCAGTGGTAATAAGAGGTCTTCTGCATCATTCAAACAGCTTGAAATAAAAGTGTGGTTACATTTTAAAATGAAAGTTTAAAAATGAAGATGGTGTTTAAAAATAAAAAAGACAAATCAAGCTCTGCTCCACTTCAGCAGGGTGTGCATATTTGCAAGTTCCAGGTGCTACATTATAAAGATTTTTTGGAGCTCTTGGACCAGCTACAAAAAGGTGCCAATGTATAAACAAGGCAAGGAAATCAATTCAAACTGGAAGTAGAATTGTGTTAGCCATGAAAAAGCTGGGAACTCAGTTATGGCAAACTGATTACTGCAGAAATGGAGATCCTTGCTTGATGCCTAGCATGAGAAGAGCTGCATCCATTTTATTGTTAAATGCCATACGTAGTTATTGCTTTAAAAATGAATGCCAAAAGGAGGTGACACGTGGTTCATGTTCTGACTATTTCTAGAAACAGAAAAGCTACTAAAACCAACAATGCATATTATATAAGCAACCCAAAGATAAAACACAGCTTAAAGACTTGGAACTAATCCCTCAATGCACTGAAAAACAAGAGATCACCTTTCAACCCTAGATCACGCTGATTTGAACCTCACCTAGGATGCCATTTGACAAAGTTAACATACAGTGGCATTTTCATAGGCCAGTTCCTAATTAGCTGGAGCCCACATAACTAAAAGCACCATCCTAGCTGACAGTCTGAAAAGAAACTATCGCTGGAAGGGTTTATCTCCCAGTCAAGAGTTCTGGAACAGTAATGGGAATTTTGCCTTCTGTTGCTGTCTTCATTGTATACATCTTCTGGATAAACTTGTAAATATCCATTTCCTATACTGTTAATCCAGATGTTCTGTAAAGATATTCTGTTTTGCAAGTTTCCAAATGCTCTCCTGGTTCTGACATTTTGATTTTTATATTCCAGCCTACATGAGGCTGTGTCAGACTTTCAATCAGGAGTGTGATTTACCAGTTGTCTGCCACAATTAGTTTCACATAAGACTGCTAGATATTTATGGAAACCTTTTAGGCACTACATAAAAAGACTCACACTCCAAAAAAAGTTGCCTGTAAAGAAATTTTTGCACTTCTTTTTTTCCCATCTTTTTCTTTGGAATTTGGTAAGCAACAATTACAAAACGATCTATATTTAAGGTAGTGGCCAATTTAGGTCACATTCCATTACAAATGCCACTGGAAAGAAATACATTACTGTAAACCACTGCATCTCTCTTTACTGGAGGATAGGGGTGTGAGGAAAGGAAAGGTAGCACGCTACCCTACCTTCTCACTGAGGAGAGTATTACTCTACATAACTCTACTCCATAACAACTGCACTTTTATCTGGCACTTACACCTATGTCCAATGGAAACCTTGATTATGTGTCTACCTGTACATAATCCCCTGAAATACAAAAACATCATCTTCAAAGCTAGGCCTTCCTGTAAATACATTAGTTGAACCCAAGCAAAAAAAGATCATTTAAAAAAATGGTTGAAGAGGAATAATAATATAATATACAGGATTATTGAAATTATCTTCCTAAGAGAACACGCAGCTTGAACCACAAGTTTCCTTCCCCCTAGCGTGATTATTTCTTCCTGCTGGGACCTCAGTCAAACAGTACTAGCTTTATGACTTCTACCACAGGGAGAGGGAGCAAAAAAATCTGTCAGATGCCAAGCACAGTTGCTCTTGCATCCTCTTTTCAGACATCCTGGCACCAAGGAATATGTTTATTACAGGAAGAGATTGTGTACATTTTAGATACAGGAAAAAAATATATCATTTGGCCAATGTTGTAGTCATGAATTAATATTGGTAGACATCACGTAGTAGCATCTATCAAGATTGTGGATACCTCCTCTGCACTCCAGTAAACCTAACTGGAACACAGAATGCTGAGCAGAAGAAACATAAGATTCTCTCTTCAAACTCCTGATGAGAAAAAGTGGAAATATAAGGTGGAAGGAAACAAGCTGGAACAAAAACTTAAATGACAGGGATTTTTCAATGAATGAGAACAAACAGAACTAGGGAGATTAGAAAACAGCACCTAATATGGATTTTAAACCGTGTCTCCAATGCAAACAACAATAAAAACCTGTGGCTGAATTAAACATTTAATAATACTATTTTTTTTGGATACAGGGGAAACTGAGATTAATACTAAAAACAAACATTAACTCCTCTAAGTCATAAAAAGTCTGTTTTATTTTTCAGGGTTACACTAATCAAACATGTGGGCTTTCTTTGACCTAACATATGTAAATCAATGCCACTAAAAAGGAAAGCATTTGATTTGTACAAAGAGGACTGAATTCTGCTCTCATTTGCACAAGTGTAGGCTGAGAGTGACTCCAATTTCACCCTGATCTAACTGAGAGCAAGATTTGGCTCTGCTATTTTTGCCCACTTATTGTTTTTTAAATAGAGTTCCCAAATTAAAAACTACAACCTGCCATCTTAATAGCTCTGAGGGAAGCCTTTCAGTCAATAAGAAAGCAAACATTAAAAGCAGAGGAGAAGACATTAAAAGACCTGCTCAGGACATTGTTTTCCCTTCAACTTTTGTTTATTGATGTACTGAACATGAAAAAGTACAAAGGATCCAAACACAAAAAAAAACATGTACAGCCTCTTAAATACTCAACAGAATATATTTTCTATTCCAACAGATGTGAATTAAGTCATACTGTACAACTTCAAATAAATACCAGCCTTACATTTTATTAAGTGCTCTGATAAACACTGTAAAGTGAAGCCCAATTTACATGCCTTCTCATCAATGCCTTTGTTTGCTAAAGTAGTATAGGAAAGAAGCATGTAGCTACTGTTTTCCCCACATTGGAAAAGTTTTTTTCCTAATAACTATATACAATCTTTAATGCACAGGATTAGCTTTGACAATCTAAACGCACCTAAGAATGAGAAAGTGCTCAGGAAGCCAATTGATTTTTGAATAGCATTGAGTGGGTCAGCATGAAAACTCGCTTATTCACTTTAGCACGCGCTTCACAGTATATGTACTGTACTATACTGAAAAATTTATAACTACAGTTTAAAAGAATAAGAACCAAAAGCAACTGCAAAGATAATGTACAACTATGTTATGCATAGCACATTGCTTTTTCTAAGGGGAAGCATATGAGCATCTCAGTTTATACAAAAAGCAGGACGTAACTATATAGTTGTCAGTGCATCCTGGTGGGGGCATTATAGCCCTCGGCTTTTTTAAAAATTTATTATAAGCTAGATGCTAATCAGAAAATATTTTGTATTTTTTCTTAAATTTCTTCAATACATGGTAAAGACTTTTATTATTTCCCCAAATAGTGATTTAAGCATCATACAAAGTTAAATTTCAATAGCATACAGGTATTTATGATTTTTGTATGAAAAATGTAAGGAAATTTGTTCAAAACCTATGGTTATACTCATTTTTACCACAAACATATTTATAAACAAAAATGTAGCATCACCATAAACAGCTGAAGCTAGACTATCTACAGACAAAATTAGCAACAAATCTGATGCACTGTAAATTCAAGTCCTCAGGACAACAAAAATGAATAAGCAGACCTCAAGTAACAATGTTAATGCCATTTACAAAGAAAAGAACTCATACAAAAACATTCAAAAATCTGAACATCACTTGGCATGTAAGTAAAAAATAAAACAAAACAAAATCAGCTGAAAGGTTCATAAACGCAAGGTCTTATTTACATTACACAAAGCTCAGGTGTTAGCCTAACGTAACTTTCAAAATGCCTTCAAATATATCCAACTCAGACCGCTTTTGCTGATTTGCTGCAGTGCAAACCATGTGCAACGTCTTTTCTTAAGACAAAACAATTCTTCAAACAATACTGCAAGTACATCACTAAACACCATGAGCTCTATCTGAAGGGAATTCTTTAGGAAGAACAGATTTTTCCCCCATCTCTCAGTAATTTAAATTTCTTGCCTGCTCTTATATACTTTTTTAGTTTTCATTTGTTTCAAAATCACAAGTTAATGTGAGCCACCTATCACATAATAACCAGGATGATCAGAGACTACACTGATGATTACAAAAGTGAAATCAACAGTGCTTCTCATTGATTCTACTTCTTAATACAAAGGTCTCAAAAGGATTTCTACATCATAAATCTTTCTAAATTTCCCCCAACCACTGCAAATTTCCTGGTAAGTTTTAAAAGCTCACTAGGTGTCATATGAAGAGATTTCTCAAAGTATTCAAGTCAAAATATTTGTTCCAGGACCAGTAAAAAGTTTCTCCAAATTTTTCTTTTTTTATAAAAATAGATGCTTTTTTAAACCCACATCAAAGAGGCTCTTATCTCTTTGGCAAGGTACTGCTTTACGAAAAGTTCTCCAGTATTCTTACAATAAGCTTTTATAATGTAACCCCCCTTCCCAACCCAAATCATAATTACAAAATAAATACTGTTTATAACTTTATAAATAAAAATGTAAACTTCAAAATATTTTTCTTGAACAGACAAAAACCAGCAATGCATTAACTGTAAATTAAACACAAAGCTAATCAGAAAAAACACAACATAAAAACAAACAACTTAAAGATTATAACACAAAGCCTCAATATTTACTCACAGGTTCAAGGCAGTCATGTAAAAAGAAAAGAAACTTCTTCCCTTAGCTGAAACATTTTAAAAGGTCCACCTTCTTCAAAGAAGGCAATAGAATGCATTGTGACAGGTAAAAACCCTGTATCTCTTGTCCATATTCAAACATAAAAGATATTTAAGAAGTTTTAATTCAAATACTAGCAATAAAAAAATCTCACATATTCTTAGGATGCTAAGTAGTCATTTTATCCCCATCTCAACACTGACTTACAAAGACATTTACTAATGTATAAAGTTTCTCTTAACTTGCCTTTGTTGTATAGTTTTCATATATAAATGGATTGAGGATAATTCATTAGGCTTTGTGCGTTTTGTTTGTTTTAAAGGAGACCTGCAGTACTCTGTCCCCAAGGCGGTATCCATTCAGGCTGGCTATTGCCATGGCTGCCTCATCATAGTTTGTCATAGTCACAAATCCGAAACCTTTGCACTTGTTTGTGTTAAAGTCACGGATGACCTTCACATTGGTTACTGCTCCAAAGGGTCCAAACATTTGCCACAGAATGCTCTCATCTGCATCAGGTGCCAAATTGTACACAAAAATGCACCATCCTGTTCCTGCATGTCCAGGGATATTAATTCCAGCCAAACTGGTCATTCCATCAATGGTCATTGGAGAAAATCTACTAAACAATGTGGGAAACAAACAAAAACAGAACGAAAACATCAAGAATAAAAAAGGGGTGACTCGCAGCTATTTCTGCCAAATCATTAATAAAAACAATATAGGCTGCTAATGGTTTGCATGAACAGTCAGCCAGTTTAAGAGGATGTACTGTAAATTGCTTCAAAGCATACAGCTTCATACACAATACTGAATGGCATTACAGGTAAAGAAGTGTTATACCTGGCTAGATGAAATCAAGAACACGCATAAAAAGAAAAATACATGCTATAGCAATTGATGATGATTAAACAAACAGGCCAAGAGGAATTCCATGGAACGGATACAAGAGGATCTCCCTTTAGCAAATGATGCATCAAAATGAACAGTTTCAGTTGAATGTGTCTCAACATGCAAGAATCCAACATAAGCCTTATGGGAAAAAAAAAAATAAAGTGACAACCATACGTTCTCTAAAGAACTAGTTTGTTGGAAAGTTATTATGAACCTAATGATTCTTCATTACCTCTTTACTCCATAAGCCATATTGAGCAGATTGTCCAACCTGCAAAACATTTAGCAAAGTGTTCAGTCTTCAGACGTTTTTTCCTATTTTGCGTTCTTTTTTTTTTCCTTTTTTTTTCTTAACTAAGCACACTATTGTCAGTTTGTATTTGAAAGATGCAAAGGCTGAAAAAAAAAAAAAACTACAGCTAAAAACTGTGACAACTTGCCATACCCGATATGGTTATTGTAAGAATGGCATCTGTTCACATACAAACACTTGGGTGTTTTAGTTTTGTATGGAAACTTCTTTTTTTTTTAAATCACCAAATCAGGGCAAGGTGGCATGATACGGTCAGTGCATGAAGCTATAGTCACTAGTGGCTACAACATTAAAATTCTCCAAAGAGAAGAAACCTTTGGGGCCAATATACCTCACTGAGATACTTAATATGTAAATAGGGCATGTAGGCCCTAAGTTTTGTTTTAGGGACATGTTTTATATTTTTCAACTCAGTTCGTTGTTCTTCACATATGGAAAATTAAACAATGTGCAATGTACTGAGGTATAAAGGAAGGCTCACTATTATAGATTTACATATTCCCCCTTTCAGACCAAGAACTTGTTAAAGGTTGTACAAGTTTTTCTTGCTCATCTCCAAATCCTTTCAAAAGTATTGGGAATCACTTGAAATATAATAGATGCTAGAATGCCCACGTATCTTGGAAGGCTTGAAGTGCTATAATTAACACAGGTCTTTGGGTAAATGTGATATCTTTTATTAGACCAAATAAATAGTTGGAAAAATTGTTCTTTACAGGCTTTCGGGCACAAACCCCCTTCTTCAGGCATAGTGAGAGTCCACTGGTGCGTATGTGAGCTCTCCTGAGCTGGAATAGAAGAGTAAGCCAATATGCAAAATGCAGGTCTGTGAAAATGCAAACGCATGGCAGGGAAGATCAGAAGAGATGGAAGTTAATGAATTAACACCTGACCTAATGTTTCTTTGAGGTTGAGGCTGGCCTCCCTAGACAGGCTTAGTTGCTTTCTGGGAAAACTCAGGGATAGTAAAGAAAACCAAAGAAAGTTACCTACTTAACAGGAGCTCTGAAATAGGGCCCTGTAATATTAAACACATTTGAACATTCAGTAAGAGGCACAACCATTTTATGCTTAATCTCATTTTAATAAAGCAGCTGTCTGATTTCTCATATTATGCATCCATTCACAATGCACTTTAAATCTTGCCACCCCTAAAGAAAATATTTATATTGTGAATGGTCTGAATTCATCCTGTACCTCACTCTTTCCAAAAAATCTTGTTTTGTCCAGCAGAAACATATTTAACATCTGCTTAAATAGTACAGATATGGGGAATTATGCTCAATTGGCAAAATGGGAGTTTATTTTCCTATGTATATTCACTGTTCCTCTGCTGAGCCAATTGTCAATTAATATTTATGAAGGCACTTTGCAATGGAGATTTCATCCACTAGAAAAAGAAACAGTCACCAAATTATGTCATATATGCCACTGAATGAGTAAATGGTAATAACCTGCAGCAACCACTGAGCTGACTTGGATCTGCTCCACTAATACTGAGGTGTAACCCCATGATTTATCTATTGAGATCTCTATTGTACATCATGTTTCAATTTGAGCTACTTAAAACTAACCAAGTCCAAACACAGCCCAAACCCTCTACTCAAGTTCCAGAGCTGTAGAAAGCTGTGAAATATACTGTTGTTCTTGCTCTATATTTTCTGAGAAGGTTTTTGGTTTGTTTTTGTTTGGTGGTATTGGGGGGGGGGGTATTTGTTTGTATTGGGTTGGGGGTTTTTTTAATCTTTTTAGAAACGTTAGTGGTATTCCAGGGTTTTTTGTTTTTGTTTTTCTTGTTTTGCAATGCATCTCCCTGGGATATGCCAGTCACTTATTTATCATAACGACAACTGCCAAAATCAACTGAGCACCACCAATGGTAACTCTTAGCAAGTGTTGTAGGGGACTAATGCTACTTCATAACTCACTAAATTTAAAGCCTCTTTCAAGGAATGTAAGTTTATTGCAAGCAACATTACAGACTGCATTGTTTTCTGCCTGTTCAATACCTATCCAAGAACTACTTGTGTATCCATTGCAAATTAGAATGTGTGTTTTTTCATAAACACCAAAGTGAAGAGCAATTAAATATTCTATATTGCTGTGTGGCCTCCACATAAATCAAAATCAGAATACGTACTATGTACTTTCTTTATACCACATCCTATCCAGTATTCAAGAATAAAAAGAAAGTGAAACACTCCCTAAAAGTATTTGTTATAGTGCAGTTATAAACACTTTTTCTAAATTAGAGCACCTAAACTGCAGAAGCACTGAACACTCACAATGATTGCACACTTCCTCAGGGGGGCTAAGGCTGTGCGTTGCCTCTGTAAATGGGAGCAATTATCTGGGCACCTTCATTGTCAAATGCTGTTTAATTCCATATATCAGTTATCAGTTTAAATTCCATGCTTAATATTGAGTTTATTTTAATTAAACATGAAGTTGCAGGCAAACCTCAGAAATCATTTAGCAAAAGGAAAAGGGATACATACCATATAGCCTTTATACTCTTGTACCTATGCTAGTGAAGTGTACAAGGCCCACAATTCCCACTTATATAATGCACATTTATAAACTACTCCACACAGCATTAGACAGTTACACCGGTATAACAGGTACCTTGCAATCCTACAGGTTGACCTCCTTTGCCCTTTGGAAAATTGGTTTATACCCACATAGCGGTGCCCAAACCAGGGCACTGCACAGCCATAACTACACTGAGATGGTAAGAGATGTACGCAATAGTTGGTAAACAAGACCTAAGCAGAGCCCTTCCAACAGACTTCATGGTGAGCCTGGCCTAATTTCTGCTTTAGGGCAACTGAATTGTGTAGTGCATTATACCAAAAATTCTTTGGGTGCTTCAAGTTTGTAGAAAAAGGTTTTGTTTGGTTTTGTGGGGCAGGGGTTGTTTGGTTTATCTTTGGGTTTTTTTGCTTCATTTTTTACAAGCGGCTTTGAGTGCCCCAAAATACTTTGAAAAAACTCAACCCAAAAACTATTTCATTTAGGAAATAGTCAGATGTCCAGGGGGCCAATGTGGATCCCATCTGAGGAAATACAGGAGGTACAGGAAGGGGGGGGGGAAGGGGAGAAGAGTGTGAGTGCAACCTATAATCTGCATTTAGTATGCCCAATAGGAGAAACTAGATTTAGAATGGCATGAACATCACCGTTCTTTAAAAGCATGCTCCAAATCTAGGAGCCCCACCCCATCCCTCAAAAAACTGAGGCTTATACACCGTTAATGCTTTCAAGAAAATCTTGTTCGAGAATTTTATTAAAATTAAAGTATAGAATTTCTTATGCTCAATTTGTTATTAAAATAAAATGTTATGTTATCATGCATTTTCAGAGTGCCACCAAACCACAAATCTGAAGTGGATTCCTACACTACAAAGCCACTGGAGGGGGGGGGGGAGAAGGGGGAGGAGGCTGCAGGGGAGGTTTTGCTGCTTCAGACAAATCAGTTTGGGCTTTCAAGCAAACCAAGTCTGAACCAGGAAAGAGGTTTCTGAACACAGGACAAATTATTCAGTTAGATGATTTGGCTAAACTAAAGTAATCCCCAAAATAGTTTTTAAGGAGAGCTAAAAAAAATGGGTGCTAAAATTGCAAAATATAAATTGTCATAACTAAAAATAAATCAAACTTTTTCCTGTGCAAAACTCCAAGTCACTGTATAGCCTCAGTTAAAAACTGTCATGTTTCTCTCCACCCCCATTTGTAAAACGGGGAATATCACTACTTAACCAATAAAGGGTTAATGAGATTCAGTTACTTAATCTCTACATAAGAATTTAAAAACATTGAAGTTTTGCACCACAGCATCAATTTGCATTGAATATTTTCACTGCAGCCATAACAAAAACAGTAAAGCCCAGTCTCTTTTGAAAACAATGTAAACCTCAAATTGCAAGCAGTTTTGCAGAAAAACTCAGGGTGAATGTTATAATAAACGAAGAGCCCTAGCACCTTAATAAAAGGCTGATCTTTTATCATTAGATCAATCAAAGATCATTAGATCTTTGGCACCTTAATAAGAGGCTGGAAGCAGCACTGTGATCACCCTTAAAAAGTTAGCATCTGCATGCAGATCCCACCTTAGTGGTACCAAAAAAAATACACAGGATACATGAAATGTGAACAACTATGCCTAAAACAGAACTCAGGAACACCATTCTTGTTAGAAGGTGATGAACACCACAACAAAAATCAGATGTTCTCTCAGTAATCACCATTTTTTCAGGTCTTACTTCAGCCTGGTAAAAACTGGATTGCCCTTTCTTTACTGCTCCAAGTTCCACCCCTGTGCTCAGCACTGGAGTAGATAGCACCCCTATGGAAAAACGGGAAGGCTTTCCCTCCCAATATTCAGCAGCAGGCTGAGACTTAATCATTTTATTCTCTAGGAAACAGTGAAGGAAATCCACCAAATCATGAATAAAGCTAGTTACCCTCTCCCTTAAGGCAAGCAACCTGCACTAGTGCTGACCAGGGGGGCAATTCATGTCATTAGCACAGAACACCCAAGAGGCTGTGAATTTGTAAGTCTGCAATCCCAGAGAGCTGCTTAGCAGACAAAGAAAAACTTAGAAGTCATTCTGCTAGAAATGCAGCCTTTTTTTTTTTTTTTT